GCTCAACCACTCTAGCATATACTAACTGCATTTATATAGACTATCCTAAATGATTATTTAAGATGAAGTCTCTACTAATCCCTCTATCTCATTCCAGAAGACAAGTATATAGAAAGTTCTTTTTCTAAGTGGGAGCAATATGGAACTTTAAGAGCTAAAGAACCATAAACTAAATGCATCATAGTTTGGAACTAGCAAGTTTTCAATTGTTGTTGAATCTGAAGGTTCGTAGATCGAATACAAACTAGTAAAAAACAGTAACTATGACATCCCCAAATTCACGGTCATTTTAAAATTTTTATTTATGCTTATTTTAAAATTAGATTATCCTTTTTGAAGAATAATATTGCGGAATTTGTTCCCAGAAAACATGATAATGATATTATCAAAGCATTTCCGAAGAAATGTATTTTATTTATATTAAAACATTGGGATGCCATCATGATTACAGAAACATAAGCATAAATAGACCTTACATTAATTTACACTAATAATCTACATGTCCTTGAATCTCTCAGCAAAATGTATCTTTAATGTCACTACCTGTGATATAATAAACTAAGTGGGTCAGGTTGGGAAACTTGGTGAGTACATAGGGATTTCAATCCCACAACGTTATAACATATATACATATATTTTAGAACTCGCAAGATACAATTTCACCTCGTATAAGCAATTTACCCCACCCCGTCGATCCTCACAACGACACGATCCATACTATCGGATCTAAAATGAACAGCTTTACCTAATCCATACTCCCGGATCAGGTATGAACGACTACGTCTAATCCATGCTCTCGGATCAATGACAAATGACTATGCCGACTCTATACTCTCGGACTAGGGACGAATGACTATGTCTAATCCATGCTCTCGGATTAATGACAAATAATTATGCCCTCTCCATACTCTCAGACTAAGGACGAATGACTATGTCTAATCCATGCTCTCGGATTAATGACAAATAACTGTGCCCTTTCCATACTCTCGGACTAAGGATGAATGACTATGTCTAATCCATGATCTCAGATCAATGAAAAATTTTAAAGTTCTACCCTCCGTATATATCTCACCCATACTCATAAGGAAATACTACCCAATATTCATCTTAATTAATTTAGGCTTATTCTGTAAGTCCTAAATCATCATATACTACCAGATATGCTCTTTACATGTATTTCACGCAATATCAAATATCTAACACATCAAAATACATTTAATACTTTAATTAATACTTGTATTAAAATCATGTTCATGAAAGGGACTATGCACTCACTTGTTAAAGTGACGACTTGAAATTCGGGCAGTGCTTTGCTTCTAACAATCGTCTTTTCCTTCGACGAAACCTAGTATCATTATTACTAGATTTTAGTCTAATATTTACTGCGACTAATTTTTAGTCTAGATTTATTATTAACTCAAGGTCTACGAGCAATATTGTTTTTCTTGTATTATAAAAGTGTTAAACAATACTTTTTAACTACTATGTATAGACAGGGGCCAACCATGAAACACCGGAGGGCAGGACCATTTTGGCATTTAAGCTGTTCTAAAATCCAACAACCCTATGCGCTCCTTCAAACCAAATTCCCCGTACCGTGAGCAGTTAAAAGGTATTATAATAATACTTTGTATAATTTATAATACTTAGCATATATATTGCTCGTAGGCTCCTAATAACGATAATGAACTTAAACATAAGTTATACTTAAAGTAGGGTAATCATAGCTCACTTACAAGGGGGTTTAGCTAGGAGCCGGGCTCTGCAGAGGCAGAACTTCTGAGCCGAAAGCTCTTCTTCTCGGAGCCTTCTGGCGCTCCAGGACTCGCCTCTAACACTTGGAAAGTGTTAGGGAATGGAAGAGAGGGTTTGGGGGTATTGGGAGAGAAAGAATGCATTTGGTGTGAAGAAATGAGAGATTTGTGCCTCTATTTATAGGCTGTCTAGGGCCTCTCACGTTGTGAGACATGCCTCTCGCTTCGTGAGCCTTGCGTAGGCACCAAGGCTTCGCCTGGTGCTGACACGTGGCGTCAGACGCAGGTAAAACAACCAATTTTAAAAAAATCATAACTTTCGCATACAAGCTCTTTATTGACGTTCTTTATATCCACGCGTAGGTATTGACAAGATCTACAACTTTCCTTTTAACCCTATTGACTAGTTCTTGACCGATTTTAAATTTAACAGTCTGAGAAGATAACACTGTTAACGACTGTGTAAAATTCATAACTTCTACATACATACACGGTTTTCGACTGTCTTTTTATTGTTTAACTCCTATTAATGAGATATTCAATTCTCATTTAGATCATTTTGGCTAAAAATTGACCGATCTATAATTCGATTTTTGAGCTGTATACTGCTATGCCAAATCTTAGAAAAATCATAACTTCCTCAAATGAAGTCAGATTTGGAGGTTCTCTATATGCACGCTCACGGTTTAACATCTACTACAACTTTAGTTTAGATTGCTAAGGCTAAAAAGTAGCTTATCAAAAAATCACTTTTTACGCTACGCGATGTTGTGCCGGTTTTGTCGCAAAACTTTGACGGGTCATAACTTCTTCGTTTCGGATTTCAGCGTTCTTTATATGTACGGAATCCTTGTGACATATACTATAACTTTGGTTAAGATTATTTATGATAAATAATCTTCTATCAAAAATTCATTTTTAATGCTCATTGTCTCTAAATTGACTAGCCCGAATCTACGGGCATTACAATAACAAATAACACAGAGTTATTACAAAGATGTTGTCACTAAGAAATGATTCTCACGAAGAGAATCAACACAAAGCGGCGATTAGGGTTGCAATAAGAACAACCTGATTACATGAATATATAGTTGAACTAGTAACAATCAATGTCAACATTAACGGGATGTATTCTAATCTAAATATACAAACTGATCCTAATCACTAAGATTGAAGAAAATTTAGCTAACAACTAACATTACTATAATAACATAGTACAAAAAAATAGCAAAAGGTTACATGTTGATGCTGGCTTCGAGGTACATGAGCTGACGCTAGCGCTAGCGCTGGACCTAATGGTTAGCGTGCATTAGTACTTGACTCATCAGATTATAAGGTTCGACCTTAAAATCTCCCCTGATTTGATGATGTCAAAACTAACTCTAATTGAATCGTTAGCTTCATCCAAAATTTCTTGCTTCATCCACTGCAAGTTTTCTCCTTTAAGCTCTTTAATGCGCTTGCTTAGTCCTAGTGAGATCAGCCAGTGATAATTTTGTTCCACTTCTTCATGACCCATGCACTCCAAGTGAAGATGAGTAAATGCTCATTGGGAGTAGTGTGGAGCTTTTCAGTGCATTGAAAGCACATCTAATTTTGTTCATCAAGATAGAAGATGCCATGTTCAGGCTCTCGAGTGAACAAATACTGAATTGGCTAGACACCTACAAGCAACCTGTTGTTGATGTAGACAATGCCAAAAGGAAGAAGAAACTTGGAATTTTTGGACTTCCTTTGCCTTGGAGATGAAGCTGAGGAAGAGGACTGAGAAGGACCAACTGAAGGCACTAAATTTAGCTTCTTTACTCTATTGATTATTTGTTTCTGTTCCAATTTCAGCTCTTGAGCATGAATACCTTTATGACTGGAAATAAAATTCTGAATCTGAATCCAGTCACTGTAACCATACTTGACCAACTCACGAGCAAACACAATTTCAGTGTATTCATACTCAGTCTTCTTTCTGATTAGATGAACCTTCAGTGATTCATTCTTGGGTTTAGAACACCTGACATTGATTATGGCCAGGTTTAATTCTTTGAGTTAGAACGTTCTTGAATTTCTTTCTGTCAATGCGAGCATTCAGCTCCAAAACCCCTTATCATTATTCTACCATGTTGTTGAAGTGTTGGAGATTTAAATGTTTTCATTAATTCCTCCATCAGCAGAGGCATACTTAAGCACAAGTTTAGAGGAACGACGTTCAACATTATCCTGTTGCTTAAAGGCATTATGCTCAGTAAGAATTTGCTTGACCTCCTCAACTGACAATCTCTAGTCCCTAGCCAATGTTTCTAAGTTGACTGTGAGCTTTCTTTTCTTACTGGAAAGAAAAGAGGAAGCCTTCACCATCAGCATCATGAACCCCCCTGAGGAGGAGGTCTTCCTTTTTCTTGTGATGAGATGATTATCATCAGACTCAACATCACTATTATCAACATGAGGAATCTCCCCCTCAGGAATAGTTTCTGGATAAATAATATTTAAAGGCATAGCCCATGACATAAAATCGGTATCCAGAAAACCTTTATCATCATTAGTATCAGGCTGATCATCATCACCATCATCTTCAAAAGAGTCAGTGTGTAGTACTATTTCTTTATCATTCTCTCCCTTTTTGGCATCATCAACATTTTGAGGAGACCCTGTAGGAGTGTTGAGCAGAGGAGAGGGTTGAGGAGAAGGAGGATTCAAAGGAGGAGAAGGTTGAAATGAAGTACCAAGATTATTACCAGTAGGAGGTGGTGGTGGTGGTGGCTGATCATTATGTGGAGAGATAGAGGAAGAATCAACAACATTGTCAGTGCCATCTACCGTGGATATGTTGTGTTGTATGTGAGCCACATCAACCTCAAGATTGCTCAAACATTGTCCTGATGACTCAATAAAGTTGACCAACAGTGTAAGCTTGGGAAGAACCATTGATTGAAAATCAGGTAAACTTGACTCCCCCTGAAAAGTAGTAGCAGCTTGAAGAGGAGATGACCATGGTGAAGCAACAACAACTTGAAATGGTGATGGTTGAGGTGAAGAAGCAGAAGCTATAAGAGGGATAATTGTATCAGTGTGAGGAGGAGTTGATCCACATTGTGTGATGGGTTCAGATGACAATGACATTAGAATGGATGCACTAGCTTATGGAGAAGTTGATCCATGCTGTGTGATGGGTTTAAGTGAAGGAGAGGGAGATGGAAAGGATGAGGGAAAGCAACTATGTGTATTTTGTCTTGGAGGAGAGACCTTGGCTTATATAGGAGGGTTTGATAAAGGACCTTCATCTTCATCATCATTTTCAACCAATGCAAACTCAATGGGTGAAGGAGCATCAATCTCTATTTCTTGATCAGGCACAAGAACCAATTCAGTATATGCACTGTTGTAAGGTGAGGTGGTACTGGAGTCGCTAGAGAAATTTGATTCTTTATATTCATCATTGTCAACTTCAGAGTCTGACGCTGAAGCTTCTTGTGAATCCCCAGTAGTATAAGGATGTTCTATCCAAAGAAGCATCTGTTGAAATAAGTGAATATCTCCTTCTTTAGGGCAAACATTGATAATTTAGGAGGATAGAATTAGAGATGGAATAGATGCCCCATGATTAATGTTGTACCCCATCCCATAATGAGCCAAAAGAAGAGCATTCTACCGAGGATATGACACATATGTTGGTCATTTATTGCCACTGATACACTCAACCAATTGATCAAAGAATAACTGAGCAAAGTGTAGATCTTTGTCTCGGACAATGGCATATAAAATTCGTAACTTGAATAGATTCAATTGGTCCAAGCTGCCGGTTTTGTGCCTGAGACATTTCCCAATAACCCCTGTCACATAATTCCATCTAGCATTAAGACACTGGCATAGATCATATTTTGCAGGTTCTTGCTTCCTTGAAGAGAAAGATCATACCCAATTCTTGAAAGATTTGATATGCATTTGGCTTCAGTACGAATCTCTTCATATATCTTTACTTATTTATGATAAGGATTCTATGAAAACATTCTCTATTAATAAGTTCTCTATATATGTGATGCCCAGAAAGACATACTTTTAATAATTTTGTTAACTATGACCCATAACACATAGTGGTTATATACAATCTTGGGAAACTTGATGATAAGATCTAAAATAAGATCGTCCCATTTACCTATAGGTACAAGTAAAGGTTTCAAGTTCCCTCACAATATCGAGTGTCGTTTTCTCATTTATCAACCAAAACAGGTATTCTATCATTTGCATAACAAAACTCGAAACTAATAAACCTTCTTAGCTTCTGGTGTTGCAACTTTCCTCGACCTTGATGTCAAAATCGAAGTTGAGTTGCATGTTGCACTTTTTTCCTTAATGGTTGGTTCTCCCCCACTTGGGTTCGAACCCTCACCTGTTTCTACTCATAACCGATCAAAGCCCAAGCTGGCTCTACCTATGTGATTTTTAGCTCTCTTTCTTCTTGGATGAAACGCCTGATTGTTATGTCAATGACTTTGACATCCGTAATGTAATGTTGCTGCTTGTGTTCACAACGAGTGATCTTCTCGTATGAAACGATCATAAATTGATCAAGATTACGACAAGAAAGAAGTCCACCAACGTACACATATACAAAATGATGTAAGAGGATATTATTAACGTAAATTGAAATTACTAGCAACAACAAAAATTGTTGAACTCAATATTATCACTCTTTTTTCTGGGATGATCAACCTTGTCGCTTTCCAATTGATCCTTGTGTAATGATCCTTCCGACCACATCTACATCAATTGGTGTAAACATACAAAAGATACTCACATTTGACTTTACATACCAGCTACAACTATTGTAGCTTCCCTAGCCTCCTAAACGAGACTCGATAGGTTTGATCCTATCTGTCGATGGTTGTGCTTGAACCTGCACATGTGCTTTCATCTACCATTCATCCACAACTCTTGAGTTACAAATTTGACATTCATTAGAGACTCTTACTCCTATATTGGGTCGTAGACTCAACCTAATATAAGGGCTTTACTTTGGCTACATTAATCTGAATAAACGTTTACATTCTAACAACCCTTTATTGCACGACACAACAAATACATAACGAACTAGACCCATGCTATCACGAGACAAACGTTAACACAGAAGACACCTTCCATCTTGTGCTAACAATCCGATCCTTCCTCCTTTAACATGGGAAGTAGACACATAACTACATCACAACAGGTAGCAGCTCTAGCCACTAGCTTCTCAACCCCAACGAAAGCCACAATCCTTTTGTTGCTCACCTCGATCACCTCCTTCTTAAATCACACAACCAAATCTGGTTACAACATCAAACAAGGTTCTCAAAATCAATCACTCATTTACACAGATCTATATTACTCAGACTCGGTCCTTCTTAGACTTTTGGGCCCAAAACAGAACCACTCTTCTAGATATCACCATATCACTGGTAATGGAAGAAACAAACAATCAATTTGTAGTGCTATCTACACTATCTACTCAACTACCAATTCCTTAGTAACTTTGTCACTCCTCCTGATCCAAGTACGAATATTGTACTTCTGGTAGTACATGCCTATACTACCTTTCACACACATCGATACTCATTCCAAGAATTATCATGCAGTTCCCAAGTCACTACACATGATAACTACAAAGCAAGTTAACATGTATGTATGTGTCCAAAATGAGCACATACAACAAATCATCCTAAACTCCAGTAGGATTTTCACATTTCTACTAAGCACATACTAAATTTTCTATACTCCGTTTCTAGGATCCCTCCACATATATACCCGATCTAGCACATCCACTTTATAAGAGTGAATCCTCAGAAGTTTTCATTTCAGCTACATCTTAGCATGTTCCACTAGCTTCAACTTGGTTCTTTGTCATTCCCCACATCAATATATCTCCTCGTGCAACACTATAACTTACTAAAATGTAATTAAATTAATACTTTCTAGACTTTGCAATCAACGAAAATTTTCACCAACCTAGTCATGTATGTTAAAGTCGGCCTAACATACTATAGAATTCATGCAAGGATGTGATAAAAGTCAATTTTCACTAAGTATTATTAAATATTAAGTCAGAGGATCATGTGTATGGTACAAATCAACTCTTAACATACCACTTGAACTGCATATTACCTAGTATAGACAGACGAAGATTCGGTTTTAGAGTGTGGAAACTCTAGCAGCCTTTCTTTTTGGATTTTTCGAATTCCTCTGAATTTTGCATAACATTTTCAATAACTTCAATTCGATATGCGCTAAGTTATTTATCACCATCTTCAGTACTTCCAAATCCGTAAGCAGTCACTGCTTCAATATGGTCGTATCTACAACTCACAGACTTCTATGGTTCTCAGTTGTGTACGATCATGCCAACGGTCCATTATCTCACCAAAAGTGAATGTACTTCAAATGTACAATATCACTCCAAAGTTTTATTATACTATTTAAGAAGGTACCGAGGTTAACTATCGCAAGTCTTCTTATCACCTTGAAAAGTTAAATGCATGTTCTAATATGGTAATTAAACGTTTAGAATCTTGAACACATAAAATTTCATTTTTTCAAATCAAGGTTTATGCCTTCAATGTTTTCAAGTATTAGAAATCTAGGTATACAACCTAAGGCAAGCTATAATACATATTAGTTAGCACATATTAGCATATAAGTCATTTCTCCTAAAGTATGCTAGTGTAATTATAGAAAGTAAGGTACACAATGTAAAACATGCTATAAAATAAATCTATTGGCACATAATAACAATTAAGGCATATACCCTAAAGTATTCTAGTGCTTGTGTCTATATAATAGCAATTTAGGTATACAACCTAAAATATACTAGACACACCTTTCACCATCGTGACCTAGTTTCTAAGTTTAAGTCTAGAAATAATCATTATTCCTAGTTCACTTAAACTAATGCTTTAATATCAACAACGACATCCATTATTTTCTAGAATTAAATAAAACATTTCTTTAAGCTTTCAAAACCATGTTATCTTTTTCTTTTGGAAATCCCAGTATATTAAAACATTTTGAGTACAATTGTTGTTTCAAAATAACAAAACCCTAAGGATGTCATAATCAACACACAACAGAAATTAGAGCGTAAAAACCTACCGGCCATGAATACTATACCAGGTTGTCTCTTTATCACTCCACATCCTAATCAAGTTCCAACAACTTTATTCCTACTACCTATGATGCATATGGTTTGAGTGTGCTAGGTCTTGGTAAACCTGGTGAGACACATAGAGTTTTTCAATCCCATGATGTTTAATGATAATAAATCATATATATTAATCTTGCAAACGATGATCCATTGAGATCTAACTTGATAGATCACTATAAGTAAGTAGACTCTACTGCTTTGGGGATTCCACTACAATATAAGTCAATAAAGGCAAGAATAAGAGGGATAGAGTACCCGAATGAAGAAACAATCTTTTTCCCTTGATATGTATAATTCATTTACACTTACATAATTTGAGTCTCCTAGCGTTCAACAAGACAATTTAGTCAGTGGTTGTCATCTTACTGTGGCAGATGACCGGACATACCCATCGGTTGTCTGATACAGACACACCATTTCTGGCTGTGTAAAAAGAGGAGGAATACTACTACAGTACTTCAGTATGTAACCCATACCTCGACACATAATAGTATCACAGAACAGAGCTCTACTCTTCGTTCTAATCTTACACATACACAAGAATAAAATCTACCTACCTATTCAACTTGCTTTAAACTAAGTATCCATGACAATCCTTAGTTTATAACTAGACCAGATCACAATTCATTTTTAATAAAGCTTCCTGTTCATGCATTCTTATCACAATACAAGCTATAACTACTCACTTATTCAACTTAATTGGAACTAAGCACCCTTTATATGTCTTAGTTTTTAACTCAACGAGACTACAATCCCTGAAATCAACTTCCAATACAGTTTCCTCTATATGACATACTATCATAATACAAATATACATTTAACACATAATAGTAAGTATTTAGTATACAATTAATCTTTTTATGTAATAATACTTATGCTAAGATTGTCATGTAGTATTTACCAAATATACTTTGAACACTCACACACACATACATACATACATACATATATATATATATATATATATATATATATATATATATATATATATATATATATATATATATATATATATAACCATATTTGGTACACTCATAGTATTGTTATATAATATTACCAAATAGACATTTAACACGTATTTCAGATAATTAGCATTTAATTCACATATAAGCTTTCAACATATATTCAATCTTTTAAATAACATATACTTTTATTAGCATCATGTTATTGGAAGTAAGTGTGCACTCACTTGATTGAGGTGGAAAATTGACTGTTAGGTTAGCTCCTTACCTAACGCTTTTGCTTTTCCCTTTTGAATGACCTAAATACGAATATTACTAAGCCTTAGTATTCGTTCGTATTTATAAGGTTATATTTGAATATTTGTGTGCCCAAGAGT